TGGCTGAACCGGCGACCCTCGCCTCTGTCGGTCGATACTCCCAGAGATAAGAGGAGCCTTCCCGTGAAAGGCAGATTTGAAGATGCTTTGAAGCGAGAACGGCCTGAAGTGATGGAAGGGGAGAAAATTGATGAAACCCTCAGTGAACCCGAGGATAAAATCGACATTGGAACCACCCCGACTGAGGAAAAAGTGCCCGGGATTTATAGTCCTGGCACCACTCGTGAGTTGCTTCAGAACTTGATTGGTGAAGACTGGGCAGATACCGCGACAGCACCTGGGATCTCCTCGGGTCAGAATCTGGAGCTACAACTAGGGATTAAGCCCGCGAATATGGGCATGGCGCCCTTAAGTAGCGAGGGTAGAGAAAGGAACACCTTCGAGACAAACAAAACGATGTTCCTGGATAAGTTAGATCCAGAAGGATGACAAGTGTGCTTGAGTAAGTTCAATCAGAAGGTAGAACGGAAAGCGGATGTCGCGGAATTCAAGGAGGAGTTGTTGGACATTGTGGTGGAGTTCGGAGAACCTATTTTGATGGCAACCGGACTAGATAAAGGGGCGAGGGAAGAGTTGTTCAACAATGAGTGAGACAAGGCCGATTATCGAGCCTAAACCCTGCAATGACAGCTCTACTCTAAAAAAGAAACGACTTCTAAAATGAAAGTAAAAAAATTAAGACTAAAAACAATGATAAGGATAAATCTATAATTATAGCTAAAGATATTTATATACCTGAGAGTAGAGAAGAGAGGAGGCACGAGTTGGACAAAGAGAGTCCGGAGAAGGAAGCGAATCCGGTTATGATTGTAGCCACACTCACAAATTCAGAGTAGAGGTCAAGGAAGAGGAAGCGAGAGGTGGAAGAAGCCAGTATTTTAGCGGAGGTGGTGTCGGAGGTGAACTTGGGGTAGACGGCCCCAATGGTTCTGGCGAGGTGGAAAACTGCAGCCTACAAAGGCAACTCGATGTCCAGGAAGTTGGTTGAAGTAATAACCGAGACGGAGGCTAGGACCGGTTCGGAAGCGGAAGAAGTCTTTAAGCCTCAGAGGGTAAGAACGAAGAAAGGTGCCACTAGAGGGCAAAGGTGGGAACTGGATGTAGGCAAGGAATGGATCTCGAATCAACACCAGGGCGTTGGGGGCAAGTGACAAGTTTTCCCCATGAGAAAGGGTTAACGGAAATACCGCTCGCTCTTAGTGGATAGCTTTGGATACAACGAAAGAACTGGAAAGCTGTTCAAAGAAATTGGATTGTGGAGTGTCTAGAAAGCGCCGAAGCTGGGCCATGCAGCAAAGGGCAGAAGTGAACAAACTGGAGTTGAAACACCAAATGGGAAGAACATAGGAGAAAATGTTGCTAGATTACTTTGAAGAGGAGATGAAAACACCCTAGTCAGCACCGCCTTTGTTAGGACAGAGGGGCAGCTCTTGTTCACATGGTGTTTTAGCGGGGTGGCAATGGAAGATCTGAATTCGGTCGACAAGCTTAAGCTGAGTGACAAAGGCCCACAGGTGTATCGAAAGTTGACGCAGTGTGTTGCTCGAGATAACTCGGGGTTAAGTCGTGCAAGTAGAAAAGATGCCACCTGTTTTTTGAGAGGGATCATGTCGGTGATACCGGATGCTACCATCCAAGCTTGCTAGCGGAACGCAACGGAGAGTAGAGCATTGGAGAAGAGAGTCTCGAAAATTTTCTTGAACGTGTATCAAAGTACTGGGATAAAAAAAATGATGATTCGAGACAGTCTCTAGAGAACCATGCGAAAATCGACGAGATCAGGAGGTTTCTAACATAGCGTACATCGTGCCTTGACCTTGACGGAGGATTACTCGAAAAGCACGAAGCATGCTTCTGGCGTCATGGGAATGTTATACAATCCCTTCTTGAGCACAGAGGCAGGAGCCACCTTTATGAATTTTGAGGTCATGGAATTACTGAAGTTTTGGACGGAGAAGATAATCCAAATTGAATGGATGGAAAGGGAAAAGCCGAGCGCAGGCTCACTTCTTTAGAAGGGGCCCGAGGTCATTTGTGTGCCACACTCTGAGAAGAAGGTAGGCTTGAGGTAAGGAGGCGAAGATAATGCATTGTCCACGAACATGGGAACAATTTAGAGACTCTTGAGGTCATCTTGAGACCAAATTGAGCAAAAATGAATGAAGAAGTCACGGAAAGAGTGAGATTGTCCCCAGGAAAGGATGAAGATTTGGGGAACTTGAATGTGATACATAAATTGATTTCACCCCATCGAGAAGAGTCCAAAGAGACGACGAGTGAGCCTGGAGATGAGCCACCGAAAAAGATGGAGCACGGCACGTGTCTTGATTTGGCAACAGGAGATGGAGGACATTCTTGTGATGGGCGATCTTGGGCAAGGTTACAATCATTTCAGAGGCGAGGTTTAGCTACGTAGTTTGGTGACGTTACAGAAAAAGAAAAAGTGAGGTGCAGATATCAGCCGATTGCTACGCGACTACCACGGTAAATTTGGCTACGGCACTAGGATTTTTCTCGAGGATATGTAGTCGGAGTCGCTGGAGTTGCTGGAGTCAGATCACCATCTTGTGACGCCGTTGAGTGTGGAGTCTTTGTCTGGAGTACTGCAGATAATTCAGAAGCATGTCTGGGGATAGAAAGTCGGCTTGGAAGCGGAAATGGGATTCCCAGTGCGTGAGGCCTACAGTCTGCCGATGAATGCGTAGTCGTTGGTGGGATCAGTCATGGCGATTTTATGCGGAAGCCATTATCTACTGCACTTGTCCTTGGTGGAAGCGTCTAGCCAGAATGTCACATCATTCACATAAATTGCTTCGGAAGATGCTGGGAGCCAGGGTGGAAGACCTGAGCGATATATGGGGTGAAAAGTTTTTGAGTTCGTAGAAGTAAATTTCTAGTGACTTTGAAAAACAGAGTGCGAGCCGCAAGACACTCAACAACGCTCAGGCTATAGACGAGAATGATTTGACACATGCAAAAATGATGGAGTTTGAACCTTTGCTCGAGGCTTCTGGAGAACGCAATCTCCGGAGCATTAATCTACCATATGAAGAATATCCATGCCACTGTCTGGCACAGATGGTGTGGTATCCGGAGAGGTCAAACCTCTGCTTAATATAGGACATTGGAGAAAATCGGTCTATAGGATTGCCAGATCATCAACAGAAGGTCACTTTCTTTGTAATGAGCTCGATGCTGGCATTGCGGTGGGTTGATGAAAGCATATTGAAATATCGGGAGTCACAGGCGTCGACTGTGGAAGTGATACACGCTGTTGATTATAGCAGGAGACTTGAGTTGTTTAAGACTGCCTGCAAGGTATTCGCTGTGCCTATGAAAGTGAGACGCGTGTGGAGTCGTATAAGATTTTTCTCGTGGTTCAGGGCGACGTTGATCTCTTGTCTGTATATCTTGACTAAAAATCACATGAAGAAACATCAGAAGGAGTATCCTCACTTCCGGGCAGAGATAGGACCGGAAGCCTTCAAGAGACCATTGCTCACCTATATCGCACGGGAATAACTACAGGATGGAAGCGGAGTGGTGTAGTGTCTAGAGATAACACTAAAGCAATGGAGTCTATCTTACACAACTCCTTTTACCTGAACAGGGAGTCGAAGGTAAATAAGCTACCAAACCATTCGTGAAGATCACAAAAACAGAAGGAGTGGATAGTGACCTATGAACAACTGAAGGCATGGGAAGAGGTGGTGATTAGTTCTGACGACAAAGAGGAGTTGACGAGGCAGTCACGGTATCGAGTGCTTCTGGACCTAGTACTTCAAAGACAGGTGGGACGAATTAGGCCAGGTATCTTGAATGGATTCTTGATTCTTGGGTATTGAGCAGGGAAAGGAATGGGGACTTGAGTGTGAACTCGGATGAAATCTGAGGGCACGGGAGAGAAATTTTAACATATGGACTATTGTTATCTAATTTTTTATATCTATTTATTTATCAAAGATTGCATGACATTTTTCTGACTGAGTTGAGCAAAAGAAATTCTGGGAAAAGTAGCTTACAAAGCTGAAATCCAGGGTGCAGTTGGACGAAGGTTTTGATTGCTGTTTAGCTATGAAGTGACAATTTTGCATGGCTGTGAAATTTGGGGAATTAGGTAAGGCTGAATCTGCTGCAAACTTCTGTAAATGACCACTGGCACTGTATCTTGAGGCACACTCGATATTCTTGAGGCTCACTGACATACGACGTCGAGCGATGGGGGAATCTATTTTAAGTCCGGGGACTATGTGCCAGTCGGTCATATTTGGATTGTTGACTTTGATTTGGAAGTTTGACCTTGATTTTGGCGACAAAAAATTTATTTTTGCAAAAATTCGGATAATAAGTTAATTTAACAGGAGAAAAAAATCAGAAGTGCTGAAAAGCGATAAAAATTAGTCAAGAGTAAAATTACCGTTTACAATTTTAGTGCAGTCAACATTTTGAGACTACTTTTTACAGTAAACTTCTAGACTCTACTATTATCATTTACGTAATTCTAGAGTCGCGTCACTATGTGATTACCTAACTTAAGTTTTTTTGATTGCAATTCATGTGATTATATTGAGCTCTAGGTTGATCCATCTGAATTGGATCAAAGGTTCGCTGTTAAAAAAAACTAATGGTATACTGGTATACTAAAGATTCCGACCCTGTTTTTAATGGCGTTTGCGTGTTTTAGGTACTTAGAGACCTATCCATGAGGGCGTTCTTATTTCTAGATTGGGAGGGGGTGCTTTTGTAGTGGCTTTTAAGCGGTAACACTATTTGTAGTGTCATGTCTTATACAAACCGAATTGGCTCCGACTGAATTAGGTATAAAAGCACAAGAGATAGTGTCCCTGACCCTTGAGCCAATGGTTATAGGGCCTGTTTTTCTTAACCTAAAATGTGAAATAGGTAGGCGACTATTAAAATAGCGCTTATAGAGTTGTCGATAAATTGAACTTTGCGCAGCGATCTTCACCCCCTCATACATAGGTGGTTTTAGCCTAATCGTTGTGATAAACTTATTAAATAGATTTGTTCTGTTTGATGTTTGTGCCTATTTGTGGAGCGCCCTCTGAGAGACTTTAGAGACAGGTCTGTCAAGTGACTTTCTGTGGGGAGGTGTGAAACTGGAACAGTCTTGAAGAGTCTGGTGGTGCACCGCTGGACCTATTGAGCTCGGGTGAGATTGTTCCTTGTTTTTGATTTTTATAATTCGATTTTAAAAATTAATTTAATTGTCTTTTAGTTTTTTTATTTGCTGATTTATAAAAATCCCACTAACCGCTTATCATGGGTTAGTTCAGTCCCCTATAGTCCAGTCAAAATCTTTTTTTTTAACCTTTATGCTGCGTCAAGATGAGGAAAAACAACAAAGAGTGTACAAGCAAAGATTGCTTAAAACCTTCAGGACTGATAAAATGGATTAGATGTGATTGTTGTTCTAGTTGGTATCATATCAGTTGTGTGAATATTTCTCTTAGCGACTCTAAGAAAACCCAATGGTTTCAGTGTCCTTTATGCGTTGATATAAATCTGTTAATAAAGCAACAATAGGTAATGATTTAGTGCTAGACAATTATGTTAAAACAGCCATCTGAAATCTCCGAGTACTCAAGAGAGTACCAAAAAACTCGCGTGTTCTCTTGGCGGAAAGTCTGTCGGACAAAATAAATGACATCGTCTACAATGTAGAAGATGTTACAAAATGGCTAATGTTTTTAACGTCGTTCTTGTTTTTTTGGAACAACCGAAAAGAAGTGGACGCAAACAGACCACAAGTATGAGCTCTTTGATAAATAAAAAAATTCGAGCAAATAACGTGCCACTTCCAAAACCCCATCCCCAAGTTTCAAGCCCGCCTCTGAGTGACCTCGAGCAGAGAATAAAGCTAATAAGTAGTAAGTTCGATGAAGGAAATGTAAAAGGAGAAATAAGGCTTGCTGCTTCGGATGACAAAATTGCTCCTTTTTCAACTGATAACTATCAAAAATTGTTGTCTGAGCACCCTTAGCGAGCCTAATTTGCAGCTCCAAATCTGGAAAATTGGATAGTTTTTTCGTAACCGATTTCGACCTATACAAAGCGATAATGTCCTTTCCGAGCAGATCAGCAGCAGGTCCTGATAAAATAGTTCCTCAAATTTTTAAAGATCTTGTTAGTATGTTAGTAAGTCGAATGGCAGTGCAGGACTTAATTTTCTGAAATCGCTTACTAAGCTGATAAACCTCATTGGAGATGGCAAAATACTCGAACCCCTAAGACCTTTCTTTTTTGGCGCAAAGCTTATCGCCCTCATAAAGATAGACGGAGGGTTGAGACCGATTGCCATAGGCAACACGATGATACGTGTCGCGTCTAAATGCGCTGGAAGCAAGGCCCTCTCCGAGCGACAAAATTTTTTCGGAAACGTACAGGTAGGTGGCGGTACCAAACGAGGAGCAGAAATAGCTGCGCACTCGTTTCGAAACCTAATTGAACGCGACGACAATCCAGTATGCACTGCTCTTTTAAAACTAGATTTTAAGAATGCCTTAAACTCTCTAAACAGAGAAACAATGCTGAATCATGTTTATTCAAACCGGCCCGAATTGTATAATTACACACATTGCGCGTATGGTAAACCTAGTTACCTTTTTTTAGGGAAACTCTGTCATAATGTCAGAAGACGGAACTCAGCAAGGTGATCCTGAAGCCCCACCCCACAGTTTTTACAAGCAGCTCTCCCGGCAGCCAAAGGTGGCTTGGGCGTTTCTTCCGCTCGTCTACTCGCTTTACCCGCTTTCTTAGCCTCAGCAGTAGGAGCAAAAGATGCCTTGAGCAAAAACTTTGGTTTGGAGCATGTGGATGGAACCTATGATGATGCGCTTAAACGGTGGTTTGAACTTGGAAAAATTGAAATGGCTCCGGAAAATGAAATCCAAAAAAAAATGGACGACGACAATCCAGTATGCACTGCTCTTTTAAAACTAGATTTTAAGAATGCCTTAAGATTTTAAGGGCGACGACAATCCAGTATGCACTGCTCTTTTAAAACTAGGTTTTAAGATTGCCTTAAACTCTCTAAATAGATAAACAATGCTGAATCATGTTTATTCAAATCGGCACGAATTGTATAATTGCACACATTGCGCGTATGGTAAACCTAGTTACCTTTTTTTAGGGAATTTCTGTCATAATGTCAGAAGACGGAACTCAGCAAGGTGATCCTGAAGCCCCACTCCTTTTTGCGGAAACAATTCATACACTAGTCAAACAGTTGGAGTCGAAAATTAACATCTGGTATTTAGATGATGGAAGTTTAGCCGACGACTATAAAGTAGTACTCCGGGACCTTAAAACATTTGAAATCGGAACAAATTTACGGCCTGAGATTGAACACTGAGAAGTGCGAACTTTGTTTTTTGGGACCAACTACTAGTACACAGTATAATTCAATTTTAACACAATTTCGAAAATTATGCCCCAGAATAAAAGTAAAAACAAAAGAAGAACTCCTCGTTTTAGGATCTCCAATCGGCGAACTTTGCCGAAAAGAATTGCTCGACGAAAAAATTATGGAGCTTGAAAAAATCTCGGATGTCATTGTCAAACTAGAAGCCCATTATTGTTTTTACCTCCTGAAAAATAGCTTTAGCATGCCAAAACTCCTATATTTTTTGCATACGAGCCCTTGTTTTTTGCAAAATGATTTTTTGGAACGCTAAGACAAATTACTAAGAAATTCGTTATGCAAGGTCACTAACGTGAAAATGGATGGTAACCAGTTTTTACAAGCAGCTCTACCGGCAGCCAAAGGTGGCTTGGGCGTTTCTTCCGCTCGTCTACTCGCTTTACCCGCTTTCTTAGCCTCAGCAGTAGGAGCAAAAGATGCCTTGAGCAAAAACTTTGGTTTGGAGCATGTGGATGGAACCTATGATGATGCGCTTAAACGGTGGTTTGAACTTGGAAAAATTGAAATGGCTCCGGAAAATGAAATCCAAAAAAAATGGACGACGACAATCCAGTATGCACTGTTCTTTTAAAACTAGATTTTAAGAATGCCTTAAGATTTTAAGGGCGACGACAATCCAGTATGCACTGCTCTTTTAAAACTAGGTTTTAAGATTGCCTTAAACTCTCTAAATAGAGAAACAATGCTGAATCATGTTTATTCAAATCGGCACGAATTGTATAATTACACACATTGCGCGTATGGTAAACCTAGTTACCTTTTTTTAGGGAATTTCTGTCATAATGTCAGAAGACGGAACTCAGCAAGGTGATCCTGAAGCCCCACTCCTTTTTGCGGAAACAATTCATACACTAGTCAAACAGTTGGAGTCGAAAATTAACATCTGGTATTTAGATGATGGAAGTTTAGCCGACGACTATAAAGTAGTACTCCGGGACCTTAAAAACATTTGAAATCGGAACAAATTTACGGCCTGAGATTGAACACTGAGAAGTGCGAACTTTGTTTTTTGGGACCAACTACTAGTACACAGTATAATTCAATTTTAACACAATTTCGAAAATAATGCCCCAGAATAAAAGTAAAAACAAAAGAAGAACTCCTCGTTTTAGGATCTCCAATCGGCGAACTTTGCCGAAAAGAATTGCTCGACGAAAAAATTATGGAGCTTGAAAAAATCTCGGATGTCATTGTCAAACTAGAAGCCCATTATTGTTTTTACCTCCTGAAAAATAGCTTTAGCATGCCAAAACTCCTATATTTTTTGCGTACGAGCCCTTGTTTTTTGCAAAATGATTTTTTGGAACGCTAAGACAAATTACTAAGAAATTCGTTATGCAAGGTCACTAACGTGAAAATGGATGGTAACCAGTTTTTACAAGCAGCTCTACCGGCAGCCAAAGGTGGCTTGAGCGTTTCTTCCGCTCGTCTACTCGCTTTACCCGCTTTCTTAGCCTCAGCAGTAGGAGCAAAAGATGCCTTGAGCAAAAACTTTGGTTTGGAGCATGTGGATGGAACCTATGATGATGCGCTTAAACGGTGGTTTGAACTTGGAAAAATTGAAATGGCTCCGGAAAATGAAATCCAAAAAAAATGGACGACGACAATCCAGTATGCACTGCTCTTTTAAAACTAGATTTTAAGAATGCCTTAAGATTTTAAGGGCGACGACAATCCAGTATGCACTGCTCTTTTAAAACTAGGTTTTAAGAATGCCTTAAACTCTCTAAATAGAGAAACAATGCTGAATCATGTTTATTCAAATCGGCACGAATTGTATAATTACACACATTACGCGTATGGTAAACCTAGTTACCTTTTTTTTAGGGAAACTCTGTCATAATGTCAGAAGACGGAACTCAGCAAGGTGATCCTGAAGCCCCACCCCACAGTTTTTACAAGCAGCTCTCCCGGCAGCCAAAGGTGGCTTGGGCGTTTCTTCCGCTCGTCTACTCGCTTTACCCGCTTTCTTAGCCTCAGCAGTAGGAGCAAAAGATGCCTTGAGCAAAAACGTTGGTTTGGAGCATGTGGATGGAACCTATGATGATGCGCTTAAACGGTGGTTTAAACTTGGAAAAATTGAAATGGCTCCGGAAAATGAAATCCAAAAAAATTGGACGACGACAATCCAGTATGCACTGCTCTTTTAAAACTAGATTTTAAGAATGCCTTAAGATTTTAAGGGCGACGACAATCCAGTATGCACTGCTCTTTTAAAACTAGGTTTTAAGAATGCCTTAAACTCTCTAAATAGAGAAACAATGCTGAATCATGTTTATTCAAGTCGGCCCGAATTGTATAATTACACACATTCCGCGTATGGTAAACCTAGTTACCTTTTTTTAGGGAAACTCTGTCATAATGTCAGAAGACGGAACACAGCAAGGTGATCCTGAAGCCCCACCCCTTTTTGCGGAAACAATTAATACACTAGTCAAACAGTTGGAGTCGAAAATTAACATCTGGTATTTAGATGATGGAAGTTTAGCCGACGACTATAAAGTAACACTCCGGGACCTTAAAAACATTCTGAAATTGGAACAAATTTACGGCCTGAGCTTGAACACTGAGAAGTGC